CTGTTGAGTCAGTAAGTGGGGCTGGGGGGGGGCCTGGCTGGTTCCTCCCCATCCCCCCTGGAGAGGGTCCCCAGTGCCTGGTGGCACCAGCTCTGGGGGTGCAGAACCCCCCCCCAGTACCCCCCTCCCCTCTCCCACTGACAGCCAGCCAGGAGCTTCTGGAGCCCTGGCCAGCTTACAAAGCAGGTGACAGCACCCCCTGCTACCTGGCCTCTGTGGAGGCACTGAATACCCATGAATAGGAGCTGCACATGTATTAGGTTTCAATGGCACTATATCTTCAAGTGCTCTGTATAAAGCGCAAATATTACAGGGTGATCAAGGTGCCTTTTCTAACTTCTGTGCAAGTCATGGCCTAAAACCTAAGCAAGTGGGGGGCAGTGCAGAAAGTCCTTTTGAAGTATACAAATGTACTCAGCCTTAAAAAACACAACCTAAGGCATACAGGCTTAACAAAGTACTGAACTGATACTGGCAAGGCCAAATGTGTCAAACAGGGACCTCAAATGTACCCATCCATTTCCAACAAAAATTCAATCAGCAGTTGCAAAAGATGGAGAAAAAAGGCATCATCAGACCCTCTGTCAGCCCATAGGCTGCCCCTGTGGTGTTCGTGCAAAAGAAAGGGCAAGGTGTGCAGGTCCATGTGAATTATCATAAACTGAATTATGTTACTGTTAAAAATGCCTACCCCTTACCTCAAATTAATAACACAGTAAACCTCCTAGCCAAAGTTGGATGGTTCTTCCTTAATCTGGCTAGTGGGTACTGGCAGGTGAAAATGCACCCCCAAAAAAAGTTAAAACAGCTTTCTGAACTAAGAAGAAACTTCTAAAGTTAAATGTTGTGCCTTTTGGATTATGCAATGCTCCTAGTCCATTTAAAAAACTAATAAATAACATGTTAGTGAATTTGCAAAAAACATCCCATCTGGTGTACCTAGATAGATAATATAATTGAATAGGACAAACTTTTTAAAAGCATTTGAAAAAACTAAGAGCAGTGTTTTAAATGCTAAAAAAAAGCCAATTTTAAAATTAAACCCACCAACTGTCAGCTTTTCTGCAGGAAAATAAACTTTTTAAAACATGTAACCTCTACAAACAGGGGTAAGCCCAAATCCAGAGGAGGTGGAGGCTGTGGCCTGGCTGTGGCCTGACCTCAAAATCTAACAAAACTGTGCAGCTTCTTGGGTTTAGCCTCCTATTATAAACATTTTGTGGTAAATTTTGCTACCATTGCAAAGTCCTTACATGAGCTCTATAGTAAGTCAAAGTTAATCTAAATGAGGAAATATTAAAATGCCTTTATAAAGCTAAAGTGGCAATTACTGTAATGTCATCCCCTCTCTTAGCGTATCCAGACCCTCAGTTGCCCTTCTCGTTAAACACTACTGCAGGTAAATTAAAGCTGTTTTGTCACAAGTTGAAGAAAGCCAAAAAAGTCAAGCCTCAAACAAAGCAAGTCAAGCCTCAAACAAAGCTAGGTGGCAATATGCAACTATAAAAAAATAAAATAAAATAAATTGCTTGCTGTGATGACCTTTAGCAAACGTTTTCAACACTTCTTCCTGGGAAAGTTCTTCACATTAAAAACAGACCACAGCGCTCTCTGATGGCTACAGAATTTGCAAGAAGACAAACAACTGGTTAAGTGACTAAAACAGCTGGCTAAGATCCAAGTACCAAATCATTCTTTGCCCTAAAAAAACAGCACCAAAATGCTAATTCCTCATCCCTTACACCTCACATAGTAAAAATTAAACCTAAAGTTCAAGTAGTAAAAATCTATCCACTACCTACAGTAAAAACAACCAGAGGTAAACCAACCCCAAATACAAAATAAATAAATAAAAGCCAAAAGGTTAATAATTTGGTGTCCAAAATGGCAACAAAAAAATACTAACATAAAGAAACTAATAAAGTAAAAAAAAAAAAAATCAATAGTAAAAAGTTTTCTAAAAAAGGGCAACATCATCTGTGTCTAAAAAGGTACTGGGTTGTGTGACCTAAGCTAAGCATTAAGCAAAAAGCACTGGTGCAAAAACTTCCAAAATCTGCCCCAAACCCCAAAGTTATTCAAATAGTGGTACCAAAACAAGAAAAAAGAAAAGAAAAATTCTGCAAACTCTACATAATTCCAATTCCAAAATACAGACAGGCCTTAAAAAGGTCTCTTATAAGGTCCAGTTTTGGTGTTTCTGGTTAGGCTAAAAAAATCTGTTAAAAACTAGTGCAGATCATGCAAGATGTGTGGTGTCCCCCCAAAATTAAAAAATAATCGCAGGACCCCCATGGTCTCCATGCAGGCTAAACAACCTTTGAAAAAAATAGCAATAAATATCCTGGGTCCCCTGTCCATTACACCATGTAAAACCAAGCATGTTTTAGTAGTGGCTAATTGTTTTTCCAAGTGAGCAAAAGCATACCCTCCCCCTAATCAAAAGGTTCGAACTGCAGCCAAGGTGTTTATTAAAAATGTTGTGTGCTACCATGGTGTACCTCACTCTCTACACACTGACCAGGAAGCAAGTTTTAAATCTCAGTTATTTCGTCACGTATGTAACCTTCTAAAAATCAACAAAACCCGCACCACACCATGTCACCCCCAATCTAATGGCTTCATAAAACAATTCAACCCTACTCTGGTTAACATGCTATCCTCCCTAATCAAAAACAAATAAATCAAATAAAATACTCCCTTATGTCATAATGGTACAGTCACCTACAAAATATACGTCATACATGGTGTTGTTTAAACAAAAACAATTGCTTAACTGTTAATGTTGTTTCTAAAGTAAACAGATCAAAAAAGATGTAAATCTATCTTAAGTATGTTACAAAAAAAATCACAATACCTAAGTTCAGCTATCCAGGCTGTTAAGAAACATTGGACTGCAGCAACACAAAGGCAAAAAAATAAGTACTGTAGCCTCAGGGTCACTCAACAGGTGTATGAATTGGGAGAGTTGGTGTGGATACAGAAGCCTTGTGCCAGTTTCTGGGGCAAGAGGGTTGGCACATTTTGGGTGCTTGTACGCGTGTGTTGCTGTCTGCCTCCTGCAGGCTGCGCACTTGGCTGCTACTGCCAAGGCAAGAGGCAAAGACTCCCCACCCGGGCTGTGCGGGGCTTACGACAGAGCTCTGGATCCGGAGAAGCTTCGGACACTTCGGGGTCGGAAGCAGCACATTCGGGTCAAAGCGCTGCCTCGTTCGGCTTCCCGAAGCGCTTCGGAGCCACCTCCGAGATCCGGCCATAGGGTATAATGGGGAAACAATAAAATATCTATAACTTTGTTGTTTTTTGTCCGATTTGGATGAAATTTTATGGGGTTGTAGACTCTGCAGAGAGGATCAAGAAGATTGGTGCAGGGGCTTCAAGAAGATTGGTGCAGGGGTTTGGGGGAAACTGTACCCCAAATTCTTGAAAGCAAAACTCATGTCACGTCTAGGCATTACAACATAGCGTGGTGAAAACTACACGGGGTGGTGGCTCTTGCTGAAGCCACAAAGCCTGCCAAGTTTTAAGAAGATCAGTGCAGGGGTTTGCAGGGAACTGCACCTCAAGCTGCGGACAAGCAAAATTCGTGCCATGGGTGCTGTGGGACTGACTCTGTCCGTCTTGGGGTACGGAGGGGAGACACTGCTGCAGACCTGGCTGCTAAACTGTTGTGTTACCAGTTACCAATCAATCACTCATGATTCACTCAGGGACCAGCTCAATACCCAGGACCTAGCTACTGCATAACGATTTAACGAGCATCAATTAGCACCTACAAAACCAGGCTAAGGAGAGAACAAAGTTATAGATATTTCATTGATTCCCCCATTAGACCCTAAGGCTGGATCTCCGAGGCGGCTCCGAAGTTTTGGAGCCGCTTTGGCCGGATCGAGGCGGAAACCCAGTCTGGAGCTCTGGATCAGATCCCTGGCATCCGAAGCGGCCAGATCCGAAGCCGGATTGGATCGCTGCCGACTAGCCAGGCTACTCCTGAGGGAGTCACCGTGGTGGTGCCCCCTCTAAGCTGTTCTAAATCTAACTGATTTGTGGGCTGAAGAGACTGGCTTATACTGAGGGACTGAAGCAGCTCAGTGTGCTTAGTTCAACAGAAAAAAAGACTGAGAGGTGAATGTGTAATGACTGGGGAGGGGGGAAAAAAGTAGAGGCCGCAGAACAAGGACTCAGGGTGTGGAAATCAAAGCCAGACAAATACAGATTAGGAACACAGTAACACAGGATCAAAGGAATATGGATCATCTAGTCCAGCTCCCTGCTCAAGGCAAGATCATCTCAGACCAAATTAGAAAAAGGAGCACAATATTTTGCAATGAGGATAATTAATCCTTGGAACTAGCCCCAAAGGAGAGTGTGAATTTTCTATCTCTTGATGTCTTCAGATTGAAACTGGATGCCTCAGCCAAGCACAAAGTATTTGGTTCAATGCAAGGGTAATTGGGAGAAATGAAAAGCATGTGTTGTAGCATTTGCAGGATGGAGAATTAAAAAAGGAGGCCATTTTTATAACAGGACAAAGTGATGTATCACTGGACATTCAATCTGTCACAGAAGGTGGGAGGAAGGCACATTTTAGGTACATGATGTGTCTGGTAGAGGTAACAGTGAATCAGTTGTTTCAGCATCAGTTTGCAAACTAAGGCTTCAACCCCATAAGAAAGGTAAACAACTGCTTACCTGTTTATAGTACAAGTACTTCCACGGATGGTGTATGTGCATGTGTATAGGTGGCAAATATATGTATAAACTAGGTTAGTAAAAATTACAGTGAAAATGTGTACCGGGGAGGGTTTTTAGATAGGATAATTATCTCTGTATTTGGAAAGCAGTTTCCAGATACAAGTGATGAGATAAAAAACCACAAATGTCACAATCTTCCTGCAAAGCACTATGAGTTGCAAGGGGGAGCTGCTTTTCTGTTTGCACCTGATGAGTCTGTTTAAAACAGTCCATTCCTACCACTATAACAGGCCACATGGACACAGAGTGTCTTTTTTAACTTTTAATTTAGAAAGGTCTATACTGGAACAGAACCTGCTCTTATTCTGAAATGTGAGTATTCCTGTGTGGTGGTAGCCCAGTACCTGAAAAACTAGTAGAAGTTTCCAAGATATTAAGCCTGGGGGTGTCAGAGAGAAGAGCAAAACAATGATTGAGCAAGCAATCCTCCCTGGCAGATCAAGAGAAACAGAAATTGTTTGGATGGCAATCCAGGAAATTAGGCAGCTTTGAAGTCATTGGCTCACAAACAAGAAGCTCATGCTAGGGGGCAAAGACTAACACAGTTCTGGAAAAGAATGGAGGCCTCACCTGTGCTACCATGTATTGTGGGTACAGTTCAAGTTCTGCTGGTAAAACTGACTGTGTCCAAGCTTACAGCCCCTTTGGGAGCCAACCTCCCAGCCTCTGCCGGATGGGTTGAGGCTGCTGCTTCTGCCTGGTCCCATCATCAGCCAGTGCGCCCCCACAGTACACTTCACTCTGTGAAGGCCATAACCATGGCAGTGGAACTGTGTGGGGCCACTGGAAGCAAACAGGTGTGCACACGCTTTAGTGGCCTGGTGGCAGTGGCTGCTGTTGGCTGCCAGGACCTCTGAAGCCCAATGCAGGTGCTAGAGACAGAGCCAGAGTCCTAACTGAGGAAGGTGTAAGGTTGGATTTCTTAAGCTGCTGACATCAATTCAAGTTTTCCATCATTATTTGCTATTAGATACATAGGAGGTGCTTAGCCCCTGGCTTGTGTGCCAGATCCAGCCCATGGAGCAATGTGATCTAGCCCACAGGGCTTCCCAAGGGTCTGGAAGTTAACATTGCCACTGCTCCCCCACCACCATATTTCCAAGCCCCGTCAGCCCAGATGAAGTGGCCCCATGCCTGGGGTTTAGTTGCTGTGTGTGGGGCTGGAGGCAGGGCAATGGACCTAGTTTGGTGCGTGTGGGTCAGGGTTGGAGGTGCAGTGGCAGGCCTGATCTGGCACATCTGAGGCTGAGGCTGTGGATATGATATGGTCTCCAGGATGCGGCCCCAGCCCTGTGCAGTCCACAGACCGGATCTGGCCCACAGACGGAACCTGCACCAACTCATCAGGCCCACCAGGCCAAAAGGTTTGGCAACAATAAAATACATCAATGAACTAGCAAAAAATGACATCGGCCTGCCCAGTATTAGCCAGGGTAAATAATGGGGCCCTAAGGACAAGAATGAAAATAACTTTAAGAATGCAGAATTAAATGGGTTGAAACCAAGTTACAGCTAAGTCTACAGTCTGTGCACTCAGAGTAGCAGATAAGACAAATCTTTGAGCTGCTATGAGGATCTGGGCAAATGGGTTACATTCTTCTGACTTCCAGAGAAAAAGCTGCTGTCGTTGGGCACTGGGCTGTCCTAGACCTTTAACCCCACAGCCCTGTGGAGGGGGCAGTCTGGCAACCCCTGCAGGTGGTCTCCTCCACTGGGGTAACTTTTATCCTGTCTACCTCACCCTAACCCAAGGTTTCTCCTTCTGACACTGCCTGACAATACCATTCTCTCTTTCCTATCCTCATCTCCTGCCTTTTGTCACCCACCTGCCTCCTCTTCCCCTTGCCCTCTCTCCCCCACTCTCTTCTGGGCACATTTTGACCCTTTGGTTGATCTCCTTCAGCCCCAGGTGCACCAGGGAGCAGGTCCTGGTGAAAGCAGAAGCTACAGTAGGGGTCACTGCCTGTCCCCAGAGTGCCCCAACATGCAGGGACAGCAAAGTCACAAACTGTGATGGGGAGCAGCTTTGAACACTGCATCTGGCAGAGGGATGAGTCAGTTCCCACTACTGCCACAGTCTCACCCCCAGTGTCTCAGAGTACATCCAACACACACACATGCATGCACAGTGTACCCACATGAATGCCAGTATGTGTAATGCCAGGATCTACCCAGTGCCTGCCAGCTGGAACAGTGTCCACCCCAACACCCTTTGTTCATGCACATAGCCACCCAAGGATCAAGGAAGCTACACCACCCTGTGCCAGCTGGACAGACAGATGGACAGGCCAGTATCCATGGTGCCACCACTCTCATGCAACACCTCAGGGAGCACTGGTGCTACAGACAGATTGGTGGGAAGAGAGCGCTGGCCGATCTAACACACACACCAGAGAGCACTGGTGCTGCCCAACTTGTGCTGGACAGACAGATGGATGGATTAGCACCCTCCCTGACACCTCTTACACCCAGAGTACCACACTGCAGGGTGGGTACCTGCAGACTAGACAGATAGACAGGGCAGTACCCACTGCTGTACCCCTGACACACACAGCACTCTACAGCAAACACCTACAGAACCAGTGTCCCATCCCGCCCTGTGCCAGCACCTTTCAAAAGCCACCCGCGTGTGCTGTGCCCCCCACAGCCCAGCCCCTGCCTCACCTGGAGGTGTTTCTCTGACATGGCCATATCCCCCTCCAGCCTGACCTTCAGCTTCTGCAGCTCCTTGCGCTCCCACTGCAGCAGGGCATCTACCTGGTCTGGGGCCTGGCAGCAGCAGGGAACAAAGGACAGGGCCAAGGGCAGATGGGCAGGGGCAGGAGCAGAAACATGGGGCAGGTTAACATTCAACTCCCAGCAATGCTAGCAATTTGCCACAGGGCACAGGGAGGGTCTTCCCCAACTACATGAGGGTGTGGAGCAATACAGAGCAGTGCTGTGGGGCATGGGGGCACCTGGCAGTTGGAAGGCACTTGGGCATATCACCTGCCTGCTCTCCAGTCAGTGCCCCCACAGGGTTGTGCTGCAGGGCATAGGGGTGCATGCATTGGATGAGCATGGGAAAATGGGCCACTGCTCAGCATATGGCTGCTGTCCCAGACAGATGTGCTGTGATGGCTGGGGGGCCCCTGGGGGAAGGGGGCACTTCAGAACTGGAGAGCACAAGGGGGTCTCACATGTTTGGTGTGTAGCTGGCACCCTTGCCATAGGGAAGCAGGGTATGTGAGAGCTGGGGGGCTGCCTGGGGATTGGAGGCTTGGGCACGTGGGCAACGGGGACCTATGGGGGTGGGGCTGGGGGAGGATGGGGCAGATGGAGAATGGGGTTCTCACCTGCTCGGTCTGCGGGCGGTACCCACGCACAGTCGCGCTCTGCCGGTTGGTGAGCAGTGCAGTGCGGACCTTGGCTAGCACAGTGTCGAGATGCTTGCGCTCCACCACCAGGTGCTTGGCCTGCTGGCTGACCTCACTGAGAGCCTGGCGCAGCCGGCTCACCATCAGCCTCACAGTGCTGCAGTAACGGTGGGCCAGGCGGTTGCTGGTGCTGGTGCAGAAGTCCCGGAAGCAGGGCAGGGGCAGCTGGCTAACCCACGGGGGTGGTTTGGTCTTGCTCTTCCACAATGTCACGCCTGGTCCCTCGGGCGGCTTCTCCAAGGTCTCACCAGTCTCTGTCACATCCAGCTTGAAGTGCCAGCTCTGGAGACGTGCCCGGTGCTCATGGGGCAGCTCCTTGGGCTGGCCTGGTGGGCGCCACAGGGACAAGGCCTCCCGAGCGCAGCCCTTGTGCAGATCCTGCGCTGCCTGCACCGTGGCCTTGGCCGCCTTGCGCCAGGCCTCTGGGCCAGCACGGCCCCGCAGCAGCTCTGCCGGGGGCCCCATGGTGGCACTGCAGAGAGAGGGAGAGGGAGAACTAAGTCAGCACCTACTGCTGCAGGGGGTACTGGGGCTCTTACTTGCTCCTTGCCCCTGCCAGGAACAAGCTGGCATCATATCAGAGTACAGAGGTCTGATACAGAACTGGGTGGGGGAAACCAGCCAGGCTGACTGGGGGGGAGCAGTGGGGAAGGACATACTGGGCTGGCTGGGCCTGTGGGTCTGATCCAGACTAGCAGGGAGGGGGCACACCAGCCTGCCTGGGTCCATGGGGCTCACCTGGGGTGGCAGGAGTGGGGATGCTGGGCTGGCACTAGCCCAGCCTGCTCCCTCTCTGAGATGTTCCCTGCTCCTGCATGCAAGGCTTGGGGTATGTGCCTAGGCTGTCAGTGCCCAGTGCCAGGCGCTGCCCTGAGCCCCACCAGAGCTGCTGGCTCCACTGAGGTCAGCAGATCCCAGGGATCCTGGCCCCCGCCCTGGAGCCTGCACTGCTCCTGGCTCCAGACCGGCTCATGTCTCTGCGTCTGTGTCTCTCCATGGAGACGGTTGCTACAGCAGCAGGTGCTTGCCTCACAGAGCCCCATTCAGAAGGAATCCCAGGCAAGGCCAAGGATGCGTGTGTCGGGGGGAGAGGGGGGGGGTCCGGGGGAG